ACTCGTATTATCCGGGGGGGGCGGGGGGCAGGGGAGGGCAGGGAGACGGGAGCCCGGGAAAATAGGGGGCGGGAGGAGGGAAAGGAAAGGGCGGGAAGCGGGAGTTCTAAGAAGGCGGGAATGATTTATTAAGTGTTATTTTAAAAACAAGAACCCAAAATAGTTTTTGACTTACATTTAGCTTATTTTGAGACGTCTGGACTGACGGGAAAATGAAAATTCGCCCTTGGGCTGAAAAACTGAGGCCTACTCCCGGTAAAACTGAAAACCCTTCACGGTGGTTACGTCATAGGTCATGAAATGTTGTCGCTTAAGCTGTCAAAAGATGTGGGCAAGGGGAGCAAGGCTGAAAACAAAGGAAAAAAGGAAAAGAAACGCCTAAGGATTGCACAGCTAAATGACAAGGATGTGTTTGGATGAGTCTCCTTATTTACAGGGGACGGAAGCAAGACGGACGAGGACGGGAGTCGGGTGATAAAGGTACGGCAAGCGGGAGATTCTGACTCCCCTACCTCCTCCCCCCTTCCCCACTTGTCACTGGTGGAGGCGTTATTAAAATCAATGACATGGTCATGGGACCCCGCATGATGTGTAATCCTAGAGCCTGTTTCACCGACATAACTCCACGAACAGTTAGCGCAAGGACCGCCACTGTTCGTGAAGTTGTGTTGGTGAAACATGTAGATCTTTTTTACGCGGGCAAAAGAACACCTAATGAACGTCAAAACTGCTCATAATTTCAAATCGGTCTCGCTTTGCACGCTCTTCTAAGCACGATTACTCCCTGAATTGTACTCCACTCTAGACCTGTCCCACTATCATAACTTATTAAAGACAAATAGTCAATTTTAGTTTTATCCGCATTGCTGCCAAACTATAACAACAATACACAGAATACATCTATCAATGTCCTTCCTGAAAAGAATTTGGATCACTGTATTTAGGTTGTGGATCGACAACCAGAACTATTTTGAAAATGTTATTATAACCTTAATCAAGCGTTGGTCCTATGTCATTTCTATAGAGCGGCCATGTTATATAGACGTCGAATTATTCTCGCAGTTTGATCGGTACTCACTTATGATCTATTGCATCGTCTGTGATCTATTACCGAACAGACGCACAGCAACATGGAATCTATTTGACATATAAACGCACGCTAAACATGAACCAATTCTTAATTAGGCCCTCCAGACCGTACCTTACCGTAAAATGCCATGGCTCAGTGGGAGAGAACTGACATCAATTTGTCAAGAAACAATTTTGTCATTTGCAAAACAGCAAAACACGTAGATAAACCTAAGTTCATTTCAGTGTAATTTTGTATTACAGGACTCACCTTGCCGTGCAGGTTTAGAGGAGTAGGATTTTTGGCAATGCCTCTGTGTGTGTCAAGTCATCACACTTTGCAAGTTGTCAAGTTGCGTTGGAACGGTAACTGGGGAGTGATGTTTGGATCACGAGGCCTCCGCAACCAGAACAAATGTTACCGTATCATGCAGATGGAGTGAAAATAGTTCTTCATAGGCTACTTTACTTCTTTTCGAACAGAAATGTTCATTGACGTATAGTTGCAAGGAAGCGGTAACAGGAAAGTGTAGACGGTCATTTTTTAAAGAGTACGTAATTGTGCTTGGCTAGCAGAACTGCTATTGAAAAATTAGGCGTGACAGTTTGCTGTTCCTCGGGAAACCCCCTGCTTGAGTTTATAACATTGTGTTTTGTGCTCTGAAGCATTTACAATATATCATTGGAAAACGGACCATTCACAGAAATATGTTCATTCCGGCAGTTTCATTGGTTCGGTGCTCATTGTTCGTTTTTTAAATTTGGTTTGGTTTGTTTTCTTATTTCCCCTTTTGTGTGGGATTTATCTACTGAGTTTGAACGTGCTTGGGCAGCAATAAAAGTGATACATGACCAGGCCGGACTAACACGGTAGAATTAGTTATGGTAACATGTTTGAGCCTTTGACAATTTGACTTTGTTTTCTTGCTTTTCTATGAAGATCAAAATGATCAAATATGATCAAAATGTTTCAAATAAATCCAAGAAATGCGGACGTAAAGGATGTGCATAAAGTACGCGGCAAAGCACACTTCATAAAATGCTTACTCAGCAACTCACGTACTGAAATAATTGTCGGCACTTTCGACAAAATAATGTCAGAAGTTTTACCAATGAAAGTCAACGACGAAATATCTCGTGGCGATGGTTGTTCGGGATTGAGATACAAAACGTAAACAAAGAACAATCGGTATATGAGCGGAAGTCAATGAGTCAAAACTTTCGATTCATTGTTCATGCATGTTTTCAAAAGAATGCGTGCGGTTGCCAGACAATTTCCTCAATCCTATAGAGTCAACAGCCCAGTGAAGTGTTTAGCAGACAGCGGAAGGAACATAAAGAAAAAAGAAAACTTACGCCAAATGGTAAGAAACCAAAGCTCAGTTGTGGAAAGCCATGTCTGTCAAACAACGAAAAGCATCTCGTGATTCCAATCCTCCGTAGGAAAAAAGATGGCGGCTGTACATTTTGCCGTAATGCCCTGGCACGCGAACCTTGCACAGCCCATAAAGTACAACTGAAGGAGAGCCATATTTTTGCAATATTTGTCTGCGCTAACGACATTGTATATGCTAGGATTGAACGTTTTATAACTTTTCTGTACGTTTTTATGACCGTTGTTAATTTTTTCGTGCGCTAAGAATTATGGGTAAGCTAAGAATTATGGGCAAATAACCAGTCGCCATCTTTTTTTTTTTTCTTATGGAGGATTAGACATGACTACCGAGATGTGATATGGGATGTGATATGTGATGTTTGATAAGTGATAGTCAGATATCGTACTCAGTAACTGGTCGCTGAGATACGATATTCCCTGAATATAGCAGCAAAAACACTTTTTTAACTTCATGAAAAAGTCGGCGAGTCGACTTTGCTGACATAAGCTCTTCGCTAGCGCTCGAAACGTCAGCTTCTCTAAAGTTTCTTCGTAATTCGCTTCGTACTGATCGAGGTAGCTTGGAACGTTCGATAAAAGTGAATCAAAACGGACCTCTTGTTTATAAGTATGGGAGAGCTAGCTCGGAATTATTAACATCATTTAAACTTCCCCAAGCCCGCAAGCATATATAAATCGCATATCGTTCCACTGTGGAACTATATCTCAATGACAACATCAAAATGTACATGCAAGCAGTTTACAGTCTATTCACGAAAGACGCGTCGGCAGCGACGAACGAGGCGCGGTATCAGATCAGGTTCTCTTTATTTGCTACTTCATTTTTGGATAAATACTGCTGCAGACTATTTGCTGAGAACATTTACTCGAATTTTCTAGGATACTATATCGTGCTCACGACTATCGTCGTACTTACTTTTGCTTCCTTGGCGGCTTGCTCAAGTGGTGAGTGCCTCTCGTTTAGATAACTTCACTTTAGTCTCACTTGCCTATGGTCGGCGCTTCTCTGGTTTCGTGGGCTTGCGGTCTTTAACGGCAGATTAAAACACCATTAGTATTGGTTAGAAATGCTTCGAAACTTTTCCATATAGTTCCTGATTGTCAGTGAAAAGAGAAAAAAAGGAAATACTCCGACGCAAGCAAAATTTTCACAAAGGAGCAGTTACGTACAAGCTGGGAAATCCCCTTGCACCAGCTGTAATTGTAGTCCAAGTTTAATCTTTCAGTTTTGCATAAATTTGATCTATACTGCCAATTTTTACTGAAAACATGTGAAAATCATTGACATGAGAATATAGGAAATGGAAAGATGGACAAGAGAATTAGTACAAGTGGGCCTTTCCAGTATCGTTATGATTATTGCTCAAATGTAGTTGGATTGCTAAGGCTATTTTGTGTCAGCTGAAACCGTCTGCTGGAAGGGAAAATATAATGTTCTGGAATAGAGCAGAGCAGTTTTCACGTCTCTAACGCGAAATACTGGAAAACATTAGCGCAGCTTTATAAAGGTTGGAACTATGTATTAAATCGTGGCATGAGGTGGTCACCCTGCTTAGACCTGCTACAAGCTAAAATAGTGAGGAGGCGAATTAACTCAATATTCAAAATAACGAATACGTTCATCGATGGAATAGAGTGACACAGAAAACGCTTAGATGACAGAGTCTCAGATCTCAGCCATATTACGTATCGCCGAGAATGTGAACCGAACTCGAGCGCGAGGAGCGTCGGATTTCGAACCCACTCACACCCCTAGGGGAACGCGTAATTTCACGGTTTCACTTTTGAATCTGAACGTTTCTAGGCTATTGAGGTGAAGAGCTCCCTTATGAGGGGAAGGAGAGGGAGTCCCTAACACAGTTTTATACGTGGAGATTTCCTCGCATTGTTTATTCTATTCATTCGGTTTGGTGAAATGCTTAATGGTGAATTAATCTATATTTTATGTTATTGGAATTGAAAGTCCTTAGATGTACGTGTGGATTCGATTACCTGCCGCTTTTTGGGAAGAGAGCCCGCGCTACTCTCGCGAACTAACCCAGATGGGGTAGCTGATAAAAGGAAAAGATCTAGAATGTCTGAACTGAAGGTTGGGGGTTATTTTATTCGAAAAAACACCACATAACCGTTTAAGGTATAAGCACACTCACACCTCCGGGCTTGCGCGCAGCCGTTGTACAAGGAGGGAAGTTGGACTCCCTTGGGAATTCGTTCTTCTACGCCTGACACATTTGAATAGTTTAGTGTTGGTAGATAGCCCTTCGTTTGCCCGACAAAATGAGTGCTTGTTGGTTAGCTTTAATTTATTGTGGTTTACAGGAGCCTGATGTGTAGCCAAATGCATCGTGGGATATTTTTTTTTCCTTTCTGGAATAAATTTATATCGGGCCAGGAGAGGGCTTGAAGCTACACCGTCGGAAAACCTAGCTAAACCTTTCGGGTCTTTTATCCGATGGAGATTAAACTTTGCACAGTGATACAACTATTTATCTCAAATGAACAATCGTTTCTTCATTTTTGAAGGTTCTTAGCGGGAAAATGACGTCTGTATAATTTAGTAGCCTGACTATTTCTAGTTAATCCAGCACTTTTTTTTCAGAACAACTTAATTACACAAGATATTTTTAGTGCACGTTTCGGGCGTTATTTGGGACTTCACTGCCATACTCTCCCCCCTCTCCCCCTCTCCGCCTTCCCTCTCGGCTTCCCTCTCCCTACGCAGACATTCTTTCATTCTTTACGTTATAAAAAAAAAGAAATAAAAAAATATATATTTAAAAAAAAGGTTTCTTATAACCTCAGAATGGATGGCTACATTCAAAATTCTTGAATGCAGGATATTAAAAATAGATGTGCAAAAGTACAGTATAAATTTCGGCTTTGGAGCAATTTGCTCGATGACACATTACTGTGGTTTTCTGAACGCAGAACGCCTTCAGACCGGAGCGTGGAATTTTCAAATTAATTTCGTGTAAATGGGGAAAGAGTAAGGGTGGGGGAAGCAAAAAAAGGCGAGGAAGAAATATAGAAGAAACTTGTTCTTTCTCTTTCCCAAACCCCCTTCCTTACATCTCTCTCTCCCTCCCCCTCCCCCTCTCCCATCTCCCCCGTTTTACTGCTGCTACGCAGCTAGGTTCACCGGAACAAACAGCTCAAAGCTATTGCCAATGACCAATCCAAGCCTGTTAAGCTGCTATCGATATATCAGTTTAACATCTGTATTTAACGAACATAATTAACATAATAGATCAGGGTTTGCTTCGATCACGGTCAAAAGGTGTCTTACGATGAAGAATGTTTTTTAAAGTTAGCCACACATTTCCAGTCACTGTGGGTTCATAATAAGCACAGAGTGCTTAAAGGAGGCAAAAATGCTAACACAGATGCAGCATTGTAAGGAGGAATAATCAATGCGGAAGTTTTATAACACCGCGATAACTTTGAAATGTGTGTTTGCCCGGTAAGCCTCACACGCAGACTTTGAGCCTGTCACGCAAACGTTATTGAAGCGTCACACAAGGTAAGCCATAGTGCCTCCGAATCACATGCTCTCTGTCTTAACCGAAACCAAAACTTAGGAATACCGTAGTGGCTTATCGTACATTAATATGAATACCCTAGCTTTCTTTGAAGTTGTTTCCTTGCAGGAAAGAGGAATAGCTTGGGAGCTCGATAATCGCGATTCTTTTCGGCTTTGAATAGAGTGGTTAGTTAACGCTACATCTATTAAAACCGGCAATTTCTTTCGCTATTTTATGGCCTGGAAAAAGTCTCTATTAGAAAAAGCCTTGAAAATTCTCTATCACGATAGCGACTCGCAAATATGATCAACCCTCGAGCTCTTGCACGGAACATCAGTTGTACTTAAAGCTTCACATTGTTTAGAGTAGTTTAACCTGTTGAGTTTAACCTGTTGAGTATCACCTCCCACGCATTGCTCAATTGTAATAACACATCAACTTACCCTTAAACCTGCTTATGCTTGTCCTTTACAAATTATTCATTTTGAGTATTACAAACTGGGACGTTTCAGACTGTTTCCTGCGTGCAGGCGGGCCAAACATAGCTCAGAAATAAAACCATATCACACGATCTTGTGAAGAGCTCGTGGAACAGATGGGTGATTACATGTAAGGTTATTCCCCCAGTAAAGACTGTGCGATTGACGGTGCACAGGATCGTTGTTGCTGATTGAAAATTATTTTTTATAAAAATTAAAAGAAAAGAATAAATAAATGAGAGAAGCTAAAATAAATAAAAATAAAGTGACAGATGAAAAAATATAGACAATAGAAATTATCTGAATTTTATCCGTTTCATTCCTTGATGTCTCGTGCTCTGAAATAATGATTAATCTGTAGAAAATGCGATTTGTGTCCTGAAATAGTTCAGAGACAGAGCGGTGTGCAAATAAACTGATTGCTAAGTTGTGGAGAAACCGTCACCCTTTCTTGTGCCATGACAGAGATCCGGTGGGGTCTCCCATTTAAAAAAGACGGGGGTGTTTGTCGTACCTTTTAGGGGTTAAAAAAATAAAATTGGTACCTCTTCGGTTGTTTGGCCTCAAAAGGTCCACAGCGGAAGCTTTTGCTGTACCATTTGAGGGTATTGAGCCGAAAAAATATGAGAGAAGATAATGTTTTGGTTTAGAATTGGTACCTCTTAGGAGTAAAAAAAAATTCAAGCCACGCTCACAAAACAGGATCTTGGTACCTCGACTCTCAGGGGTTCTTTTCAAAATTTACGATGAGNGAAATAGTTCAGAGACAGAGCGGTGTGCAAATAAACTGATTGCTAAGTTGTGGAGAAACCGTCATCCTTTCTTGTGCCATGACAGAGATCCGGTGGGGTCTCCCATTTAAAAAAGACGGGAGTGTTCGTCGTACCTTTTAGGGGTTAAAAAAAAAAATTGGTACCTCTTCGGTTGTTTTGCCTCAAAAGGTCCACAGCGGAAGCTTTTGCTGTACCATTTGAGGGTATTGAGCCGAAAAAATATGAGAGGAGATAATGTTTTGGTTTAGAATTGGCACCTCTTAGGGGTAAAAAAAATTCAAGCCACGCTTACAAAACAGGATCTTGGTACCTCGACTCTAAGGGGTTCTTTTCAAAATGTACGATGAGCACCCCCGTCCTTTCAATATTGGAGTCCTCCCCCCTCCCATCCCCCCCCCCGGAACAGAGACAGCATTTCGCCTCACGAATACTTCATGTATTGTTGGTATCAGTCGTCACAGTAAACTCGCCACAATTACCGTAAAAGCTGTGCACGTACAAACAACTGCCATTTTCACCTTAGAGTTTTTATGTTAACTGTTCATGTCGTTGTCATACGAGGTTATATACCTTTTATAATTTACTATTTATATCGGCAATATGTAAGACCCGTTCTCATGAAACTAGCTTCGTCACTAAAGGAGAGAGCTTTGCTTTCAAACATTGTTTTGTTGCTTAAATCTGATCGACTGTTAGATTTGTCAACCGTTCTCTGATTTTCGCTTTTAATAACAAAAGAGGACGTCACTGATATCTTAGAAAAATAAGACACTACTTCGTTTTTGGCATTTATTTATCATGGTAGCAAATAAATTTTCCAGTCACATGCACTTTTCATCAGGTCATATGCGCGGTAAATTGTCATCTCATGATCACATGCTGATCACATTGTCCAAGAGCGATTTTGTTTTTACTCTCAACGCCCTGCTTAATGCAAAACATGGTAAACGAAAGAAAAAAAATTAAAGGAAAGGGGGAAAAATCCCAAATCAGATTTGCGTTTACCATTGTAAATTAGCAACGGACGAGAGTAGCTCATTAGGGGGCGCAGATTGCATATATCTCGTCAACCAATCAAAGGCGTTCTTTAATGAAGGAAGTGAAAACAAGATAAAAACAGAATAACATTGGAAA